AAACAATTGCAGGAATAGAATTACATCTATTAATTTTCATGACACTTTGGAATTAATTACAGCAGATGTTTTGACTTCAGAAAGGGGCCTTCTGCAAATATCAAATGAATATACATGGAGTGTGTTACACGATACGTTAAATGCTACTAAATCAAATCATGTAATAAACGCGTCCCAGTATTGCATGCCCAGCGCAGCAGCGATAACATATTATAAAATATGTAATTTAATTGGACGTTACACGGACACATCTTGTTGTATGTGTTGACAGATTGATCCGGTTGAATTGAAAATAGCGAAATAAACCTCCAGATATTTTTATTGGCGAAAAAACTTAACGTGAAAAGCGACTTAATGTGAATTAAGTCTATTGCACCAATTAATACATAAATTTGCAATTACAAATGACAGATTGATCATACATTGATTATGCAATACATCATAATAATATGTAGTTCTGTAATTATAAATCACAAATTATGAATATGTAAATCTGCAATTATAAATTACAGGTTATTGAGAGAGACAGTAATTATTTACAAAATAATTGATTTGAATAAACCGTAGCCAAAATGTCGCCACATGAACATTCTGTTCCTAAATTGAATTAATTAATGTTGCATTCAATAATTCATAATATTAAGTAGTTTGACTTGTAGTGAACATTTGCACGTTTCTGGACAAGAAAATACCCATCGGATTATTTTCGATGTAGGAAATCTTTGCGATTACGTAAGGTAACATCATAACACGAAACATTTCGTATTCTTTGGTGAAAAGAATCTGTAGAGATATATTTATGACCCTTTCAAGATATGATATAGTAACGCGTATTTTATAACATCCGAAGAATGCATATCAAGTTCAGTTGATTAATATACGTTGATTTCAAATAAATATCTTAAATTGTTAATTTTTTTTCAACTCGCGTTTTTTATTTTGTCAACGATTGTGCTTTGCATTGCTAATATTTTATTCTAGATATTCCTAGTATCTCACTGTTATTATTCGGGGAAAGATTCAAGATTTCCTATTCTCTCCCATGAATGATTGCCCGAATCGCTTTCCCAGCTCTCTCCTCTCCTCTTTCCCCAGCGCCGTCTCCCGACAACGTATCTTCTTCATTCTCACTCGTGCGGTTCACTTCCAGGGTAAACATTTACACAACTTTCACCTCGCTTCACATTCGCTCGCATCTTGCCATGAATAGCTCAAAGTAAACGCACGTAATTGTTTACTTGCACCTGCACCAAGAATTTAGGGTCTTCCACTCATCAATTAGCACTAATTATACAAGCGCATACGTGCGGAAAGTTGCGAGTGAGAGCAATTTTCTGCACGTGAGCTATGCATCTGACTTGTGATATACAAGAAACAGTGCAAAATTGATCGACTATGTAAGACTATCTTAAGTGATATAAAACTAACTTTTCAAATAAATAATTTAATCTTGAATCTCTCAAATATAAGTTCTCAAATTTTATGATTTAAACTTTGTCTCCGAGCTCTTTCTTTATACAAAATAAAATTAAAGATATCAATTTTTCTATACAAATATATAATGCTTAAAAAAACTATCAGAAATAAATCTAAAAGAGACACAAGAAGTCTTTTAAAATCTGAGACTTTGTATCCTTTGTTTTACATCATAATTAAGAATTTGCAATTTACTTGATTTTTTTAGACATTTAACATTTTTAATAATCAAATTATATAGAACTGTTATCCGTAACATTCTTAATTATTAAATTATTGCAGCTGTTATTCCCACAAAATTTGTAATAATTAAATTATGTAGAGCTAACTGTATTGAATTATATAAAGCTAACTATAGAGTAACAAACTGTTACTTATATTTGACAAGCTTTGATTATTGTACTGTACAAGCTTGCTTGTATAGTAACGGTTTACTGATATTAAATGACATTAGTTACCACAAAGCGCAAGACAACATCAAACATATCGAGAATATAATGTAATTAGAAACTTCAATAATTCGATTTAATTGAATAAACTCAAAATGCAAGTGCGTTTTCGATTGTTTGAATACTTCGATTTGAAATATAAATTTAAAAAATATATATATATTTAAGTGCACGAATGACGACGTACAGATTATTTATTAAACTTTTTAACGCTATTAAAATGACTCAGAATTTAGCAGTGGAATTTTTATAAGCCATCTTTTGCTGATTTCAAATGATCAAATTTCAAAAACAGTGCCGATACTATATTCTAATATCTACAGAACACAGTGTCTGTAGATATGTAAAGAGCGAAGGAAGTTGAAACCACTTGGAAATCCGCAAGAGAGAAAATTATCGAGACGTCCAAACTTCGACGGTCCGTAGGACGAAATTATGCGAGAGCTTTTGCAGCTTTTGTTTCGTTTCTTACATAAATTATGAATAATCCCCTCGGTTCCTCTTTCCTAAAACTTGCGTCGCGAAGTGCGAGTTGGTTTTAATATATTAATGATAACTGTAATCTATTTATCGTGATAATATTTCTAGCCATTTCAATCACGCAATAAAGATGCATATAAAATAGATACGATAAAATTAGAAAAAAGAAGAAAATTAAAAAAGGAAAAATTGTATTATATTAATTCGATAAAAAAGAAAGATTTGGCTAACGATCAATGTCGTGCGTAATATAAATATATAAAAGTTTTCATATACATTTAGATATTAATAATTCAATGTTTAACTTGAAATACAAATTAATTATATTATAATAGTATTTTTCTGACGCTTAACTTTACAATAATATTAATAATAATGTTAAAAAAATTTTAATATAATAATGAAATAGAATTTTTATGGAAGAGTAATGAACGCGTCATGGAAAATAGCAAAGTCTCTCCTGGAATAATTTTGTATTTATTATTTTGTATTTATTTATATTTTTGAAAAAAGTGAAAAGATAAATTCACACAGTAAGTAAAGTAAATGATTTTTATCAATTTTTTTTGGCTAGCTGCGCAGAGTGAAAAAAATAGTATATAGTTTTCCAGGTCACATAAAAGCAAAATAAAACGGGGGTAAGCTTTAATTAATGGATACTCTCGAAAATGGTTTCAACAGTTAACTCAATAAAATACGTAGTGCGATAAATATCTACATAGTATAAAATTTTTATATAAAGATGAATTGCGTTAAATGAAGAAAAAAATGAAACCATAGTATTGCTGTACGATGTTGTAATCACAGCTTTAATGCGATTTTCGAAAGAAACGCCCTCGTGATTATTTGTGTAAGACATACCCAAGAACAATTAACGTTTCGAGTAGTGAGCATACCTAAAGGTTGGCTCACGCCGTAAATAACGGCCGACGTAGCTAAATTCTAGACCGATCCAACTAGAACGTAATTAGAAATCCGCCACGAGAATCATTGCCAAGTAGCGAGCTGATTGGAGTTATCGCGCGCTGCAAATTTGAATAATCCCAACTTGTTCGACAAGGTGACAATCATCAGTTACGTACAACACTCTTTTCATTTTGCAAAAATCACAGATAATGTATTTTAATTTAATCTCACAACAATCAATGTATTACAAACGTTTGTAATTCGGAAAGGAAATATGTGTGGTTGTATTGTTTATACATCTTTTCATTAGACGAACTGCACGGAAATACGTTGGTAAAGTTGATCCAAACATTTTGGGAACATCCTGTACAAATCAAATCGAGGCCATTGCTACTCCGGGCTCACTTTCGCGTCGTAAAATCAGAGGCGAAACGACAATTCTTCGTCGATTAAATCCATCGGCGCGTCGATTACTAATTTTGACGTGCGAGCCAATATTTACCCCCAACCTCCATGCTATCCTGCCGTATAACTGTCGATATTTATGGTGAACAACTCTTTAATACCGGCGCCGCGCCAGTGTCAATCGTCGTTCCGATATACCCGTGAAATCGATAACCGTTTCTCATTTATCGGTGATGTGAGCTTTTTGATGATCTCTCGATAAACTTTTTTCTCGTAAGCAATCAAAGTTACAAATTGAATTCGTATGACGAGCAACACTACGAAAAAGATATGCATGATGCATTGTGAAAATAACAAGATCAAATCTTTGGATTACTAAAGAAACTGTTAAATGAAATTCAACCAACCGTGCCGTAATCTTTAATATAATAATATTTTTCATTGCAATTTATTAAAAACACCTAGAACATTTTACAGAGTAAATGGTACGTGCGCAGCGCTTTGTAGTAGTCATTTGTAGTGTTCTAATCTGAATAAAGAGTGCAAAGTAAAATAAAATGATAACAAATGATAACAAATAGCCAGTAATGACGACGATGATTTGCGATACATGTGAATGTAGACGGCTTTCTAGCGTCAAAGGGACATTCGCGATCGCTAATTGGCGCGTCGTGGATTAATTAACGCCTCGCAATCCCATTGTGCTACAGTTCGTTTTCTACTTTCGCGAAATAACGCGTAAAACTAACGAGATCGTTAGCGGCGACCGGCATTTTCGCGGAATTAATCGATCTCGCGCCGATTAATTGAATTAATCCGCTGTCTCTCTTGCCTCGTCTTTTTATCCTTTTCCTTAAAAATAACGCTATATTGATATAAAAACTGCATAATATTCTGTTACATTAATAATTACCAAATTTAGCATTTTAAGATAATAGCAATTTATATTGCATTTTCTTTTTTTTTAGATATTTGTGAAATAATTTTTACCTTTAGTATCTTTTTCATGGAATATTTTCTAAAAGTTATTTCCGTTTTTATAAATTTTCTTTATCAAATTTTTCTCAAAAGTTTACTTTCGTAGAGTTAAAGATGAGTATGATTTATATTTATAATTAAAAATGAGTATGCAATATTTTACATAATAATAGATTTATAAAATTTATTTGTACTTTATATAGATTTATGAAAATCTATTAATACTTTCGAAAGATTCTCCTTCATTCCGTTGCTATTTAGAAGTGCAAAAGCTGTTATTTGAAATTTCTTTTTTCTTTATTTCAGGCGATGAAGATGAGCAAAGTGGGCAACCAGACTAATTCGCAGGACCCACAGGCGGTGAATTCACGCGTATTCGTTGGGAACCTGAATACATTTCAATGCAGCAAGACCGATGTGGAGCGGATGTTCCAGCGCTATGGCCGCCTGGCTGGTGAGTTTATTGCAAAAATCGTAATTAGTAAAAATTAAACTGCTGCGAGAGAAAGAGAGAATCATTCAAAAATAAATTGCTAAAATTGTATCCTTAAAAATCTTTATCAAAAATATGCTTCACATTAGACATACTGAAAAACAGAATGATAAAAAATAGATTGAAACAAGACTGGAAATAAATTAAAAATATCTGCCAATAATAGTTCTTTCGGAAGTTTGCTTAATATTGAAAAGAAAGAGAGAGTTTAAAAATATATTGTATGAAACAATACAATTTAAAAGTAGATATTAAATTAATACGCAATTTTTAATTATGTTTTGTGTTATTTTAGATAGAATTTTTCACAAAGTTGTTATATTCATATGCTTCTAGAAACAAACTTTTATGGATACTATTATGGATTAAAAAAGAATCTTTACAAAAAATTTCAATCATTGGAATCCACTTTTTCGCTTTGCGTTTACAGTTAAATATATCTCGAAATAAATGGTCCAATCGGAATCGAGATTAGCAATGTTTTTGATTTCACTTATTTCCACTGTATCGTTATTCGTTTCAATTGAAGCTCGTAGAAATATTTAGTAGCCTGGGAGTTCTATTCGGATAATTTTCCTTCTTTACAATTCTTTCTCATACGTATGTTAATCTCGCAAGCTACGAATTTCATTTCTCTACTCTGCAAACGACAGCAATCAAATAAAGTGAGAGTAAAATAAATTGCATAAAAATATAAAAGAGTGGGAAGAACTGTTTGTTGAAGCAAGAGAATTATTTGGTTATCTTCAAATTTGTTTTCAATTCTTGCCGGGGCGTTCCCAATAAATCGAATCACGTGAGAAATCGGCGGCCTGATAACATTCGATAATTCGCGATCGAATAACTTATTATCCGGCGCGGAAAAATTGCATCGGGAAGAATAGCGGAAGGGGCAACGGGGCCCGGGAAAATGGGATCTTGGTAACGCAATTTGTGCCACGGCGACTTGACCTTCGATAGCTCGAATTGGATATCCGTCGGTCTCCAGTTTCAGAAGGAGCGGCACCGATGACTGCCGCTGCCTTCTCTTCCTTTGTAAGCCGTAACCTCGTTTACCCCGCAATCGTAGGATTTGTTATCCCGGAAAATCATTTTTCCCGCGCGGAGTCCTTGCTCCTTCTGGGAAACGAAATTACAGCGGCGATCTCGAATGATAGATAGATAGACGATGATAAGTCGAGAACGACTATGTGACTTGAAGCCGAATGTGATAGATCGACAATCGAGATAATGATGGATTGCTTTATTGAATTTACTGCAAGCTATTTATAATTAAACGTACAAGATAACTCAGCGTACAACTTCAATTTTAACGATAGATCTTTGATTGATCTGACGAATTTAGAATTGATATTTTTAAAAGCTGAAATATTTGATGCTACATACTTTTGTAACTAAAAGTTTTATGAAAGTAAAATCCGTTGAAAATAAAAAATATTAAAAAAAAGAATATAGCAAATTCACAGGTTAATTCATGTATACTGCGCAATATATCGTAAAGCAAAATACAATAAGTAATAAAAGGTGTAACAGAATAATGCAGAATCCAGAATTAGCTTTTATGTCGACTCAGGTGACATCGGTGTCCCAACGTCGAGCGTCGCTAGATATCACTGGAAGAAATTATCCTGCCAGTCTGTCCGGTAAAATCGCAATTTCGAATGTCGAATGTCGCAATTACAAGAAGCTGCTAGCTGCCGATAAACAGCTTACTTTCTCAATAAAGGACGAAGACAATAAGGGCAACTTCGTTCTTGTAGGAATTAAGGCGCTCGCCGGATTAGAGGGACGCCGATACGAAGGATAAGCCGCGTCCTGTCGTCGAGACACCGCGTGCGACGCGCGATAGCAGATAAATAACAAATTCTACGAATCGAATATCTCTTTTACAAACAGCGTTTAATGCGAAAATGTCTGCGATCCTCGGCTTTCCGGGAAAGTGCTTCTGTTTGAAATCCGATTTAGACACGGGATCCTCGATTGCTCCAATTTTGGCAATTTTCCTGCGCGAGCTTTGCATAATAATGTAAAGCGCTTTATTTTATTTGAACAAATTGCGAATTTGTGATTTAGTGTTACAAAGATAATTAATGTTCAAGGAAGGAAAGTTGTAAAAAACTCAACTAATCTGTGTAAAAAAAAACTCGATTTTCAGTTATCAAAAAATCTAAACGGAGAGGATAGATATTTTTAGGACATCCTATATACAGAGTGGTCCATGGAACTGGGCCGAGCTGTAGCACTTGTCATGTTGAAGATAAAAAAAAATGGTAGAAAAAAAAGTTAAATGACATAACACGAAAAATTCTTCTATAGACTTATTTTTTTCGCATATAACGATGCATCAGAAAAGTGCACTTTTTTGCAAAATGAAAATATAAATTTTTTTGCATAAATTCGTATTAGCAATTGTGGATTTTGAGTATAAACACTTAAGGACATGTAAAGCAGCATCATTTGACTACAGTTCATACTAATCATAAAAATAAAGTATATTCGCATCCATGGACTTACTTTAAAGATATACTTTATTTTTATAATTACTATAAACTGTGATCAATTGATACTGCTTTACGTATCCTTAAGTGTTTATATTCAAAATAACATAAACACAGTGGAACGTTTAAACGTCACTTTTAATAAAGCATATACTTCATTGAAAAACGACAAATATCTTGTAAAATATTAATTTTTCGAAATAATATTTCGCATCTTAATAATATTTTTATATTATTCAGAGAATCTATTTATACAAAAAAAAATACATGTTTTTATTTAAAAAAAAGTACAATTGCACTTTTCTGATGCATCGCAGCACTCACATAAAAAATGAGTCCATAGAAAAATTTTTTATGTTATGTCATTTAATTTTTTTCTCTATCAATTTTTTTTATCTTCATCAGGACAAGTGTTAGAGCTCGGTCCAATTCTGTGGAACACCCTGTATAGTTATATATTGGAAGAAATCGTTGTCAGAATGATTTAAATCTGCACTGTCGAATGCCTAGATAACAACACTAGAAAGTCTGTCTGTCGACAAGTTTTCCAATATTACAGTCGATATTTGTTCTATATAAATGCCAAAACATTGGAAAAATTCACTGCAACAGGCCCTCGACACAGTGCTGCCGTTATCGAGGTACTTGGTCGTCACTTTGGAGCACGATAACGTAGATACGAAAAGTACAAATAATTGTTACAAAGAGCGAACTTGTTTTTTGAAGTGAAGATAGTTCTATCAAATCAAACTTTTATTTCAATTTTTTTCCATTTCGATAGTCTGCCTTTTTCACAATCAAATTTCGGTCTTTTAGAACTAAAAGCGTGTAAATAAATCACGTGCGACTTCGTATTACTATATATATAAATTTTGAAAGTTATTAACAGTAGTTTTTGTCAAAAAACTTACAATTTGTTTTATATCGATAAAGATATTGAAAATTTCATTCTCGTCTAGTTACTTCACAGCAGATTTCTTTTAAAACAAAAAAAAAGGAAACAAAAATATTTTATTAAATCTTTATTGGAAACATTTTTTTGAGACACATTGTTTATTCTTTTAACTAGATATTTGTATTTAAACTTTAAATTGAAAATTATATGATACGGTGCATTTTATATATAATTAAAGAATAGAATATCAGTTATTTGCAGTCAAAAAGTTTATATTTGCAAACTTTTTAAAAATCTTTAATTCTTTTCTAATTTTTGACGATTTAAAGTCTTGAAAATATAATGTACATATTTAATTAAACAGAATAACAATAATAATTCTGACTTGTGATTCTTATAGCGTCAATTATATTGCAGTAGCGAAATGAAGTAAAATGGAAACTTAATATATCGCGGCTTGGAATCCTCGTTTAGCGGGGGGGGGGGGAATCCTTACTTATTGATATTCTATGATAGTTCTGTAACTTTATATCAGATCTTGTAACAGTACCAAAATCTGATCGCAAATACCGGTTCTGAATCGATCTTGTTTGCAATCGGCCGTTTCTAAAGCTTTCCAAGCATCTCCACAAAATCTCGCGGTTGATTACATTACCATTAGCAGCTAGAACCGACAAAAACGACCGATATCTCAAATGGCTTCGTAATGATTTTTTGATGCACGAATCGTTCATGCATTAAAGCGATTTCGACTCTTATGAGTGAAGAATCAACTAAAATTCAGTAATCAGATAAAAGTGACAAATTATTTATGGAATAATTGAAAAATTTTGATTAGTTTTATGACGGAGCGTAAAACAAACAAAACGTGCCGTAAGAAACTGTTATATTTTAAATGTAAAATATAAGGAAAAGAAATATATGCAAAGATATATTACTAAAACTATCGAATAAAATAATTATGCACGTCGAAAAATCCACCGCGCCTGAAGGTAACATTTGCAGCGTCGAAAATAAAATAATGATAACCGAGTGAGCATCGTATCAGCCGCTCCGTATTCACGCGTATACTTGCACTTACGGCCGCGCATTTCGCTATCGCGGTTTTTATGGCCAGAATAAATTTCGTCGCGGAACGATCTCTTGAGCGTCGATATCGGACTCCTGCACCCGCTATGCACAAATGCACACATAACACCTTTTGCCCCC